TTTATTAAGAGTTTTTTAAAGTTTAGAACAATTATTTATTTTCCACACTGCGCTACGCCTTTAAGGCCGAAGGGCATCCATAAAAACTCAAAAAGACCAAAAGTTGTGATAACTGGATGCACAGGAACCTGATGGTAGCCCCGCACCAAATCTACCTTGGAAAAAACAGTTTCCCCCGCCAGGTGGGCAGAAAAATCCTGAATGTGAGGGACTGGGTACCTGTCATTACTGGTTGCATTATTAAGGCGCCAAAAATCCCCACAGGGTCGCCAACCCCCATCGGTCTTTGGCACCATGTGCAAAAGGGATGCCCATGGACTTTTGGAACGTCTCACAATGCCAAGACGCTCCATGTTAAACTCTTCCTTAGCTATTGCTAACTTAGTGGTATCTAGGCGGCGTGCTCGTGCAAAAACCGGTGAACCAACTGTAGTGATACAAAGTTCCACCCCATGTTTAGCTATGGTAGCAGAAAAGGTGGGAACTGTCAGAGCAGAAAACTCTGACAACAAACGCTGATACTCATCACCTGTGACAAGCATGTTAGCAAGAGGTTGATGGGCAGGACCTCCAAGTTTACAGGGGTAGCTATCAAAAGACAGCATTGATTAAGCAGCTATTAGCAACATGAACTAATAAACTGAAAGCACATAAAAAAACAGCACCCAAAACAGGTACAAACACAGAACCTATTACAAAGTCCTACTGGAACTGACGTCTGTTGAAACACACAGTCACCGACCTCGATCCAAAAGTTTGAATGGGGATGCCATTAGCTGTGTCCAGCGGGGCTGTTACTTTGACACAAGGCATCTGTAGATGAAGCTGACATAATGCTCCGCTGTGCACCCGAGTCCACCAGGAAACGCCGTCCAGAAACTTTGTCCATGATGAAAAGCAGCTTATCTGAGCTGCCAGCACACACAGCTGCTAGCGAGCGCCGGCCCTCTTGTTTCCCTGATGCATGGAATGAACACAGAGGAATGTAGCGCTTCGCTTTTACTTCAAACCGGCGGTGGTAGAAGCAAAGCACGTCGTTCTTCCACTGCTCCGTCACCGCAGCCACAGCATCAACAGCTTTCGCCCCCCTTTGAGTCACATTTGGTAAAAGTGCCTGCACACTGTAGTGCCAGGGAGCTAACAAATTCGGTCCGCTTCTGCAGCTAGGGAGCGATAATCCTTTGTCCGGATCAGCGGGGAGCTAGCCAGCGCGGTGCGAACAGGTGGAGGAAGCTGGCGAAGAAACAGGTGCATAAAAAAGGAAGGAAACATCCCCTGAGCCAAGTAACACCAGCATGTTCTCCATCAGCTCGGAGGGCTTGCGATCCCCCAAGCCACTCAGGGACAACAAACTGTCAGCCTGCTCCACGTCTGACAGTTGGTAAAGCCGCAGCAGGTTCTCCTTGAGCGCACTATATTTGTTAGTGCTTGGTGGGTCCCGCAGCAGACCCATCAGACGGCGGGTGGAACCAGAATCTAAAGCAGCAACGACGAGAAAGTACTTGGTCTCGTCTGTGCTTATCCCACGGAGATGAAACTGAGCTTCCACATGCTGGAACCATGGTTCCGGATCGTGTTGCCAGAACTCTGGAAGCTTATTAATGGCCACAAACACAGCAGATGAAACGGCAGCAGGAGACGAGACCACGGCGATTGGAGCAACGTCTGCCCGCCAAAAACTTGGTCCGAAAACACTGCTGGAGGAGCAGCTTTGAGTTCTCGTTCGAAAACATGTTCAGATGTTCGGGGTCACCAATGTGGAAGTCGGCAGAAAGAGACGAAAAATATTTTGAGTCTCGATTTATTCTCTACATCTTTCAACATCAAGCTCAGAAAAACGAATGAATTACAACTAGTGATGGGTCTGATGACACTGAAACCTCGGTGCATGCGCTGAGCAAACAAGGCGAAGCCCCGTGTCGGTGCGCGTATCTAAGGAAAACCACGTGACCGATACAGTTACTGTATCCAAAAAAGTTAAATCTGGTCCTCTGGACATTCAAAAAAAACAAAAAACAAAACAAAGCAAAAAACTCTAGAAACGTTTCGTCTCTCATCCAAGAGACTTCCTCAGTCTGAGGAGCTGTATTCAGCTCAGTCTCTTAAATAGCACCTTCTCAAGAGTGGATCAACCAGTTTGCTGCTGACAACCAGAACCAGCTGATCACATGCTCAAGAAGGACCATCAGCCTAACAATGGATCATTAACACACTGATGGCTGTTTACTATTCACAGAGGGCTGAGTGATACTAGCAATCACAGCATTGTAAGAGGGGGACAGTTGAACCCGGAGGCTCCGCCCCTGTTTAATGATGGACGGTTTCTTTTCACAAAGATGGCCTCCTTTACTCCTCTCTCAAACCATCGTTCCTCTCTGTCCAGGATGTGAACATCTTCATCCCTGAAAGAGTGACCGCTGGCCTGGAGATGAGTGTAGACCGCAGAGTCCTGGCCTGATGATGTTGATCTTCTGTGCTGGTCCATCCTTTTGGCCAGTGGCTGTTTAGTTTCCCCAATGTAAGACTGATCACCCTCCTGACACTGAACAGCTTACACAATATTACTCTGTTTGTGCCGGGGGACTGGATCTTTGGGATGAACCAGTCCAGAGGACCAGATTGAACTTTTTTGGATTTTTCTACCTGGATTATTGAGCATGCATCAGGATATTTTGAGTTACTGTATCGTTTGGTTGTGAACGCGCCAAATTGTTTTTATAAGGGAGAAAATGTATGGACACGTTTGTGGGTTTTGTTGGATGGAAATAGTTTGTGTTCTTTGCTTTGCATTGGTTTTTGTCTTGTCATTAAATACCATGGATCAACCAAGGAAGAGAAAGTTTTCTCCCGTGTGGGATCATTTTAATCTTATCACGGGAAAGAAGGTAAATGATTATTCCGTTCTCGTTTCCACTATTGATCATTTTTCTTTCAAGTTATTCTAATTTCTTTCTGAAGGATATTTGAATTAGTTTACATGGATTCACTTTTATTTCTGTTGTAGGTGAAATGTAGGATTTGCTCCCAGGTGTTGTCTTATCGAGGTACAAAGATATATCTCCGAGGCGAACACACCAAGATCACAGGATTCACTACAATACTGGAAAACACAAATATTAAATTACCCTACATTATACAAACTTGCAGTGAAATTTCTTTGTACGCCGTCATCATCAGTGATCTGTGAAAGGTGCTCTCAAAAGCAGGAGAAACGATTTGTAAATGACACAAACGCCTCGACCCAAAGAAGTTACAGCAGCTGATGTTTCTAAATAAAAACGTGTAAATGAACCTTGTTCAGTCTGTTTCCAGTTTTTATTGAATTTGCCTGCAATGACTTTTTAAATCCAGCACATGTCGCCAGTGATAGAGCAACAGTTTCAACACAGTGTGGACACAGTTTGGGAAATGTGCCATGCACCCCATGAGGCCTCACCTGCCCCTCACTAATTAAACCCATTGATCCGCTCTGTTTATATTCTGTCCCTTTCACAATAAGAGCACATTCTGACTGAAATATAAACATGTGTGTCCGCCACACACACTATGACTTTTATTTTGTTCCATTAATTTATTGATGTTATTGTTAAACTCTTTGGTAACAGCTGCTGTTTTAAATGTGCTCTGAATTGAAGTTGACTTGAGTATGAAAGGATGTTTAATATTCAATATGTGAGTGTGCACATCATTTTGTCTCTATAACCTAAAGGTTTGCAGCTTGTGAGAACTTTCTGGTTATATCAATGTGTTCAATGTTTTACCAATTCCTGCAAATACAATTCCCTGAAGTCTTAACAAAGCCTGCAGATGAACTTACCCAGCGATACTTCGTCCAACTTTATGGCTGTCGACGTCCAGAAAGCGATGAAACCTGAGGACAACAGAGTCTGTGAGCACTCAGCTAGCTGTGCTTTACACGGACCACTAGCTCAGGAAGTGAACTCACTTGAAATTTGACCACACAAACTTAAGTGCAAGCTGGAAATGTTGGTCCTCCTCGTCTTCGATCTTGCTGATACATCTGATCAACTTCTTGGTTTCTTTCTCCGTCTCCTTTTCGAAGGAGGTCCAGTGCGCCATGATGCGGCTGGTGATGCTAGCAGCCGGCTCTAAACGTCGATGTGTTAGTCTGTCCAGCTGATTCCTCGAGTCTTCGGTCTGACATACAAGAATATGTTGGAACTACGAAACTAATCGCAAAAACAGGACAGCTTTTGGCTTTTCGTTCAATGAAGTCTCCATTACCGCGCTCTATTTGCGTTTTACGGAAAGGACTAATGCGCATGCGCACCACAGTAGCAGGGCGTTTTTTTTTTTCAAATCTTTATTTAGAACTTCAAATACAACAAATACAACAGTCTCAAAAAATGCACATTAAAGAACATTAAACATATCAAAGAAGGAAGAGAAAAAGAAAGCAAACAATAGTCAAATAAAATACAAAAATAAATAAATACGAGTTACAAAGTTAAATTTTATTCATTACAGATATTTTTATTTTTATAGCCTTTTGTTATTTGAATCTGAGATTGAGTCAAGATACAGTTTTACATCCATAACAATGAGGTTTAAAAAAAAACGTTTCCTATGCATTCTTTGACTTTTATGGATATGGAACTTAGCAAGAAGCAAGACCAGATTGATAATCAAGACGTGAGAGGAGTCTTTCGTCTTGAAATGTAGGAGACCAAACAGAACATTTTCAAAATAGAGAAGGAAACCTGGTTGGATATTATTGGATATCAGAGCAACAATGTCCTTCCAAAAGTTCTGAGAGTATGTACACTTCCACAACAGATGAACAGATGTTTCTGGATAAAGCTTGCAGAATGAGCAGGAAATATCAATATCAGCTTTGTATTTCTGAAGGAAGTGTTGGGTTGGATAAAATTTATGAATTAATTTAAAAGAAACTTCTTTGACTTTATTAGTGAGAGGAAAAATTGCGGGAGAGACCAAACTTTTTCTCAATTAAGATCCTCCACAAAGGTGTTCCAATAGGAAACACAAGATGGAGATGAAACCAGATTTTCTTGAAATAAAGAACGGATGTTGGAACTGAGGCAGCACGGTGGCGCAACTGGTAAAGCTGCTGCCTCCCAGCGAGCAGGTCCTTGGTTCAAACCATTTTCATATAGTCCAATCAGATGCGGCAGGTCAGACACGCCCACTTTCATATAGTCCAATCAGATATGAACGCCCAGATACGCCTTCCGAATTTGCCAGCAGAGATCATAGATATATAAACACTAGATCCCTCATTGGCTGCTGCGGCGCAGTATTTTCGGCCGCCATCTTGGAGCGGTCGTCCTTATTTGGTTAAAGCAGAAGATGTCTCAGCACTTCGCAGCTTATTTCTGTTCTAATCGACGAACTGTTGACGTCCGGTCTGGGGGGATAACTTTTCACAGTAACATGAACATATTATTGTTAGTATTTTGTGAATATAATATTACTGTACTGTATTTATGTCCACCAGCTGATGTGATGTTCAGTGTAACACGGTGTTCAGCTGCAATGAAGCTGACTGAGATCTGATGACAGGAATATTTTGCTAACAATCATACTCACTGTTTCAGCAGCTTTGGTTCATTATCAACAGATATGTATCAAAACTGGAGTTTTGTTTAAGTTCTAGGAAATAAAAAATAAAACTAGGGAGAATATAGGAAATAGAAAATAAGATTGACCTCCTCTGTACAATGTTTTTGAGTAGACACAAATGTCCTGTTTTCATTGTGAAGGTTTCCCAAAGAACAAGATGTGAGGAAGAGGAGGAAGTATCTTTGAGGAGGATTCATCTGAGCAGTGAGGATTTTGATCAAACTGGTCAGACTGTCCGACTGAGAGATGGTGTGGTACCATGGGTTCACCTTCAGAGAGTAGGAGCATCATTATAAGTTCATTAGAGTTCATAAAGTTACATATTTTATTGTGAGTCACAAGGTGAGACACCTCCATGTGTTTCTATGAACAGGTAACTAGAGACTGTAAAGTTCATCTTCATGATGCTTTTTCATTTCAGCTTGAAAACTGCAGGACTACAGGAACTGAAGAAAAGCTGCAGCTGCTCTGTCTGTGAGCTGAGTGAAGCTGACACCCCACCCACTTCCAAAATTAAAGCAAATAGTCTGAATGGTTAGTGCTCCGTTAGTGCTGGTTTGTGCCGTTAAAATTTTCGTTAGTGCTGCTTTGCTTTCTGAGATATTAAAGATTAATTTTTAGGTCATCCAAAGGTCACCATCCCCCCATGTTGCTCCAAAACAGACGGGAGTGGTCTACTTTTTTAGTGCTTCGTTAGTGCTCGTTTGTTCCGGTGAAACTAGCGTTTGTGCAGCTTTAGTTTATGAGATAT